CCCTTGGGCTCGGCCCATTTAACACCTTATTTTTTTGGTTTGCATCGTTTGTCGCACAAGCCAAGTTCTTCGACCTCTCCAGCTACTTTTTTTGTCACCGGTTTTTTCTAGAGTGGTTTCCCTGCTTTTTTCCAGGTTTTCTTTTTGTTTCAATTTTTTCACTCTTCTTCAAAATTCGTTTTTTTCAAAATCGTGAGCTTTTCTTAAATTTTCATACATTTTTCAAATTCATAAATATTTTTTTTAAAAAAATCAATTTTCCATCATTTTTTTCTTCGTATTTTTCTTCCTTTTTCTTTTTTTCTCAAAATCCCTTAACTTTTTTCAAAATCCATGAACGTTTTTAGGAATTTTGATTTTTTTTTATATATGTGAACTTTTTGAATTTTTTTAACTATTTTCAAATCCACAATTATTTTCAAATTTTGATTTATCTTCCATTTACGAATTTTTCAAAAATCAAGAGTCATCGGTCAACCAGTCAACTAGTCAATGGTGAAAAGGTCCACCTGTCTGCCGGTCAACTGATCCATCTGGCAACCCATCAAAGGTCCACTTGTGAATCCAGCAGGCATAGCTGGGCCGGCCAGCACGCGCGCGCGAGCGCCAGTTGGCCTAAATGGCGCTTAAGGCGCTGGTTAGAAGCCCTCATACTGATGCTGCCGGAGACACGGGTTCAGCGTCTGGCCTGGATAGACATCGGGAGACCACGCTAAGGCAGAACCTCCTCTATGCTTTGGTTGGTAAGAGAACATCTATCTCTACTCCTATAAAAATGTGAGTTTGTGATGATGGTGTGTCTGCCTTTGTGTCATTTGCATCGTACGATCTGAAAGCTAAGGCTGGGAATGAAATTGGTTGTACTCAAGCTAAGCAATGCTCTGGAGGTTTCTCGTTCTCTCACGATACAAACGAGACTTCGAGATAATACGCCCCGCATCACCCGCAGCACAGCCCTGTCCCATCTCTCAAACCCCCTGGCTTGCCTCCTGGCTGAGCGAATCCCCGTCTCCTCGCACGCCATGGCCTGCGAGATGCCTGACGCATAGGGAAAGGCCAATTCCACCTGCAACACCACCACCGGCGTGGCACCTTTTGGTCCTCGTACGCCTGCGGCAAGTTCACGTGGCGGCCGAATTTCGTGTTTTGACCCTTTTTGAAAAGTATTTCAGGATCTGACCCCTGTTTGAATTTTTTTCGAGATTTGACCCTTTTGCCTACCGCCAGGGCCCATGGCGATAGGGTTCGATAGCCTACCGCCACGGCCCATGGCGGTAGGAAACTGAGTTATTTTCCTCAAATTATATATGTGTGCTTATCCGAATATCTCATTGATTTCCCCTCGTATCTACTTAATCTGATAGGAATGGTACTATTAGTGCATAGCTGCAGTGCAGATGTTTCTCAAGACGAGATACATAATGGTTGGAATGCCCCCTTGTAGGCACGGGCATTGGTGGTGGACATGATGGAGCTAAACTTTTGCACAATACCTAAGATGATTGGTCAGATGGATATGCTATTGTGATGTATTAATAGAGTAAGTAAGCTTATCTTTAAATAGTAGCACAATGAAATATTCCCCTTTCTTTTGCTTCATTGATAATTTCTGTTTACTTTTACGGGTTGCAACATTGCATTTGCTATTTTTGTGGCTACAAATCGATGAGATCCAAGTGTGATTTTAAGTTGTCCCCTGCACACAAGTAATTGATGCCCAACAATACTGAGCATTTGGTTTTGAACTTTTTTTTAAAACTCGGACCTATATAAATTGCCATTTCACATTGCTTTCACTGGGATTGTTGTAATGCCGAGTGCTTGGTTGCAATTTTTTAATAATCTTACTTGATACATCTGGTTGTTTTCAGTAACTCTATAGTTTATTTTTTTCTCATCCTCACTAATTACTCCCTCCGTTCCTTAATATAAGACCTTTTAACTATTTCAAAATATTGATTACATACTCCCTCCTTCCGGAAAAGCTTGTCCCTCAAATGGATGTATCTAGCACCAAGTTAGTGCTAGATACATCCATTTGAGAGACAAGCTTTTTCGGACGGAGGGAGTACATACTAAAATGAGTGAACATACATACTAAAATGTGTCTAGATACATACGAATCAAGAAAAAGCTAAAAGGTCTTATATTAGGGAACGGAGGGAGTATTTGAGATTGAAAGCATGCAAAACATTACAGCTAAATCTTGCAAATACAATTTTGAGATAGTATCAAACTTATAATATTCTCACTGTAGTTTTTCACCATCAGTTTGTAACTAAAATTTACATATCAGATTTCTAAATCCAAAGTGAGAACTGTTTACTATACTACGTTAAGGTTTTATCTTTACATTTTTTCATAAGAGAATAATAAATCTGAACACATAGTTTTTGTTTTTACCTTGGCTGCCTTGACTATGGTCTTCCCTAATACCTTTGTTAAACCTCTTCCAAGATTCACCTTGAATACATCCCTTATGCTCTCTCCATTCAGACCAAAGTACCTAAATCAAAGGTCTTCCACCTCGAGAACTTTTGGGTTGACCACCCAGGCTTCACAGAGTTATTCCGACAAGCTTGGAGTCTCCCTTTGAAACACTGAGACGGCAGAGGCACATCTCTTACATTTTCTACTCCCTCCATTCCAAAATAAGTGTCGTGGTTTTAGTTCAATTAAAGGAGCCTTTCAAATCTGGAGCAGAAATCTTTCCCGACTCTCATCGCTATTGCAAATTGGAACTTAGTCGTCAACCTTATCAACGGACTTGAAGAACAAAGGCCTATTCTTGACTTTAGGAATT